AAACATAAAAATCCCGTCTTAAATGTATAAATATCGCTCTTAATTTGTTGCGCGTGTACGACATTAATTATATTTTACGAATGACACAATACGTGAAATAGTGAAAGAGACAATGATTTTACACTGAAGCTGCGCGTTTGTTCGAAAGGAAAAAAAGAGTGGATCGCCGATCGTTTATGCGAAATAAATCGAGGGATCGATAGAATTCATAGATAACCACTTTGGGGGAGAATTTTCCTCCACATCCCGGAAACGAGCGTGATCGATTTCGATCGACGGATTTAGTCAATTAGAGAATCCTTCGGAATATTTCTCATAGGTGGGTCCGGGCGACCGCGAAAGAGAGCCCCCCCCCCCCCCCGGTGATTAGAAAGATGAAAAATATATAGATATATATAGATAAATGTATATGTAGTATATATGTCGAATGTACACAGGCATGTAAACAATATCGAGCGCTTTTGAAGGATCGATCGCGCGAGAGAGCGCACGCGACGCGGCCGCGGTTAGCCAGGACTATTTTTCTAAGTTGCAAAGTATAATAAATTAACGACGTGTTGCATTATCGTTACTAGAGTATATTATAATGTATATTGATATTTTAACTAGGCGAGATAAGTATGAGATAATGTTACGAGCGAGTAATATAAAACGCGAGACTATATATCATAATAATTATCATGATTATCGCGCGATCCGCGCGATGGTCGCAATTAGCAGAGGTTCGCGCGTGCGGTCGATGCGCGTGTGACGCGCGCGGCGCAACTAATTAGTTCGAACGCGAGTTAATCGCCAGATACGAATCGACGAAGTGCGGAACGCCGAACGCGAGATTGCCGGTCGAGAGGCTGCGACGGCAAGTTGACGAGAGATGAGGAAAAGTTCGGGCGGCTTTGTCGATTCGCGAAAATGCGAGAGAGACTGTAGCAGAATAAATGAAATAATTATAGGGGAGCGATTGTACACGTAGATGAGTACGAATGTTTGAATGTGCGTGTATGAATGTATGTGAACTCGAATGTGTGAGGGAGGGAGCAATGAATAAGCGTGTGTCGTTCTTCGGCCGCGGAGAGTAATAAGAGAAAAATAATGAATCGTTCTGTCAGTCACCTCACCTATATTATACAATATCATAATAATATGCTGCCATACGATATAAATATATGTCTACGGTAAGGAGTATATTAAATAAAACATTACAAATAAATATGTTATAAGTAATCTAGTACTTGTCTGTGCCCTCCTTCATAGTCAGTTTCCACACAAAATCTATACCTGGAAGCATATGCAGAAAAATTTATTCATTTTAAGAATTTAAGGTAAGTAAAATTCGATCGATGTTCACAAAGTTAAACTCAAGTTTATCTTATATTGCGAGAAATTAAAACAAAATTAATAATTTAAAAAAATAATAGTTTTTTATTTTGCCAATTTAATAATTCTTTTTACACGCGTATTATTTAAAAGAAGTGAAAGTATTTGACATTAAATCGTTTTAAATAAGTAGCTGTTTTTCCTATCAATCACGCGAGTTAATTGTTTTGAAAGAGGTAAGAGTCAACTTTTACTCGTAGAGCTGCCGAATGATGTAAATGCGGAAAATCGTTGGTGAGCAAAGCGTAACCGAGATGTTTATAACTTATAATTAACTTGCTTTCGGTTTATGTAATTTGAGGACTCTTGCACGTTCGCGAAACTCACTCGGTCGGTCTGCAAGTGAATTAAATCGAAGAAAATTGACCGTACCGATCCATAAAAAATAGATCGCTGCTTTAAAAACGCATGCCTGCATTATAAAATTATTCCGTTTCGTAATTGGTTGCGCTACATTAATCATCGAAGATAATTGATACGTTTGATTATACAAGACAGTCGCGTAGAAAGGAGACGGAGATTGAAGCACGCTTACTCCAACCTGTTTAACCACTTGTCCGCAGACGGGACAAATCGTTCTATTTTCTATTTCGTCCGATGTCAAGTTTCGTGCGAGACGACACGCGTCGCATATAATTTATTTGAGTGAAAGCGACGCATCGACGCATGTTCAAACTGCGCGCACGCAGTTTTCTGTCTGTACTGGAGGATGGTATGACACAGTTACATCATGTCAAGGCAGTTGCAGTTATTCAGCGAAAGCGTATACTCGTGCGCCAATGTCGCTGAACTTTAACCGATGCGCGCGATTATCAATCGAGAATATATATGTCTAAATTCGGTGTATTTTTTTTGTTTTGGTTCAACAGATCACACAGGAAATTAATTTTTGGATGAAGAAAAAAGGATTCTCCACATTTAAGTCATTATGATTCAAATTATCATTTCTTCAATTTTCTATTATATATTGGAATCTCTTTAAAAAATGTAAAAATAGGAAAAGCAGGAAAACACATAACGTAAGTGAAACAAAAGAGGAACAAAAATGTACGACATGGAACGATGAATTTCTTTCGATTGCGAATCCGAAGCGAACTTAGACAAATGTTAGAGCAGTCGTCAGGCGCTGGCAAGCGGAAAGGTGGTTGCGCAAAAAGAAGGCTGCTCGTAGAAGGCGCGCTTTCTACGGTTGGGTAGAGTCCCTGAGTAAGCCTGACGGTAGGCAAACAAAAAGCGCGCCGTGTCGATCGCGACAGAAACGCGAAGTATTTCGGCGTGAGAAGAAGAGGAACAAGAAGAAGCGGCAGGAAGGGAGAAGGTGGAGAAGCGGGATGCAACGATCTCAACGAAGGACGCGAAGTTTCAACGATTCAGTGGCAAGATGCAGCCAGTCAACGCTCATCGCGTTCTACTTGCTCTGCTGATAATTGCTGTTGTCACGTCAACTGCCGGAAAGTTGCAGCCTGGTGAGTGCGCTAACGAACGTGATGCTGCACGTGTTACATCAGGATGGATAGAAGCGACGTGACAGACAATCAAGTTCGCGGAGTGAAAATCAGATATTGCGCTAATAAAAGAGATGTCAACATTTTTCGTCGTTTACGTATTAAAATTAATGTAAATCGCATGATTTTATACACATCGAGTATTATTTTTCATCTTTTTTATATTTTTCTAAAAACATGATTCCGTCGATGAAATATATAGTGTTATCGTATGTGAAGTTTATTTAAATACAAATACATGCAATTATACGGGTGTTCACGCTAATCGCGTTTATGATGGTTCGTTGACTTTAACGTAGTTTAACGATTCAGCATAATTTGTCGATATTTGTTACGTAATTGTTGTAGTCCGCAACGCAAATATGAGGGAGAAAGAGAGAGTCGCTAGAATATCTAAATTTTTCATCGCGAGTTCCGCTCAAAGATACGAAAAAAAATCACACAAATTGAATACCACATATATAATACATGCTCACTATATGCACACAATATTTGCAATAACTCGCACGTGAGAGATACCGGCGTATCTTGCACCTTAAGGTCGCATTTACATACGGCACACTTTCATAGCGCGACTATTATGATGGGGTTGCATGATGCAACATCGCAATATTGTGATAGAGTGAAAATTCAATTATACGGGCGCAGGCTGTAGCATACATCGGCGCACAAATCGTTACTGAAGCGATGCTGCACGATTGATAATTTGCGGTGCCCCGGGTGAAAGTGAAGTGTAAGTGGGGCGATCAGGCAAATGGAATGTTGTTCAACAACGCGCGGATGCATATTATACAAGATCATTCTTATGGAATTCTTCTTTTTTTTCCGCCAAGATAATACCGTACCTTTTTGCAGTCAAACTTCTCGCGGCGCGAAATCGTGCGGTGCTAAGACGGATTGCCATCTCTCGCGAGGAAAAAGCCAAAGTTTGTTACGGTAAGGTAACATAGATTTACTTTTATCCCGAATAAAATTTTAGATTTTGCGTCAACATATAAATATAAATTGAATATAAATTTGACTTTTATGTCGCAATTCGTTTTCTTTCCAAATAAGTACTTATAAGTATTTTAAAATAATTTTTAACTAGCTACTTTCTCTCAATACGAATGTTCAAATAATAAGAAAAGAAAATTTCAAACCAAATGAAATATAATTAACGGACAGTTGATTTTTTTTTGTTTAGTTTTAACATATCTTAAGACAAACGAATATTTATTCCGATACATCGAAAAGTAAAATATTTCAGATTTACTCGGTTGCTTTGCGGATCCGCCGCCGCATTTATCGATAAAACGACCGCCCGAGCATCCTAGCGTAATTCAAACCAGGTTCTTCCTCTACACACGTGCGGACCGGCAAAAACCGGAACCGTTGCAATACGGGGACAATTTAAAATCCATCACACATTCCCAATTCAATGTCAGCAAGCCTCTCAAGGTGTTGATACACGGTTTCAAGGGCAGTGGAAATGACGTCGGCGCAATACTTTGCATAAACTCTCTTCTCGATATAGTAATTTTCGATTATCTTTCAATTTTAATAATTTAGCTAAATATCCTCTCTCTTTTCGATTATAAAGACACTATTGGGGACTTGTCGAGTGCAATTGAAATTCTATTTAACGTACAGGAAGACGCGAACGTCATCATCTTGGACTGGACGAAGGGGGCGGGCACTACATACGGGGCTGCAGTGGCAAATAGCGAACTGGTCGGCCGGCAATTGGCCTTGGTGCTTTTAGACGCCGTCAATTTGGGTGTCGATCCCGCCGACATTCACGTGGTCGGCTTCAGTCTTGGCGCACACGTGGCCGGCTGCGCCTCGGAAGTATTAAAAAGAAAAAGTCTGCTTGTAGGTCGCATAACAGGTCTCGATCCGGCGTCACCGTTCTTCAGGCATCATCTGTTCAGGGAGAAGTCAAGAAAATTGGACGCCACCGACGCCCGCCTCGTCGATGTCATTCACACGGATGGCTCTCAGGATTTTATGGACGGCTTTGGCCTACTTAAGCCGATCGGGCACATCGATTTTTTTCCCAACGGCGGCCGAGAGCAACCCGGCTGTACCGATATTAAAAATTCAGTGGTGGTCAGTCACTTGAAAGGTAAATTAAGAGTGATCTGAACACGATTACGCACTAAGTTCTTCAATTTAATTATTTCTATTCCGATTTAATCAGAATTTATCTTCAATTAAAATTACTGCCAAAGCAAAATACTTATATCGTGCTCAAATTTTTATACGAGAATATTTTATTCTCATATAATTCTTAAATCTTTCAATATGAATTACTAGCGAATTATATTAATTAATATTAATTAATAAGGCTCAAACAAAAAAGTTTCAGATTTATGTATTTTGTAATATATATCATAAAATACTTAATTCGCTTTTCATTAAAGGACGTATGCTTTTATAAAGTCGTAAGTCATTTATTTCCTTTCTGATTACTTATTTTAGAGGATGTGTTGGACAAGAATATAGCATGTAGCCATTTAAGAGCTTTTCAGCTCTATGTAGAGAGCATCCGCTCGCAAAGTGAGAAATGCAAGTTTATCGCATGGCCTTGCTCTCAAGGAGCGATATCTTACGCGAAAGGAATGTGCTTCCCTATGGAATCAACGAATTGGAATCAAGAGATGGGTTACGCGGCTAATCGTGGAGCATTGGGAATCTATTATTTGGCGACTAAAGCCGAAACACCGTTTTGTGGTATCAGAATATACAAGGATAATTGCCTTTTCATTGAAATAAATGTCTATCGAAGCAGATCATTGACTTTAATAATAATTTGTTATATAAACATATTATTGGACGGATAATTTATTATATAAATTTGCACAAAATTATATTTCATAGTTAATTAATTATGCAAAATTATGACTTATTTATGAATGACTTATTTATTATGGGACTTTGAGAATCTCGTAAATTTTAGGTGAACCAGTTAGAGCATCAGTGATAACGTCCGAAGATATGCTAAAAACATCTGGTACATTGTTTTTCAAAATCTTTCTCGCTAATTCCACAACGCTCTTCCAAATTCAATGCACGTAAGTGAAAATCATTTATATTAAAAATAATTAAAATAATTTTATCTTACGCTACTAATCTCCATCGATTATAAATGTCGCATGAATTTTAAAGGTTTTTTTTCATTTTATCGCATTACTGTTAGATTCTACAATTTTTTTTCAAAAAGTGCTGATTTAATTATATTTTTTTATAACAATGCACCAGCTGCATAACATTTGCGGCATAAATATTAGATATTAAATTTGATAATAAATCTTCGAGTCTCGATGTTGTGTTAATTTTCACGTAACAAAGTAGTTAGTGGTTCTAAATGTTATTTAAGTTTGCCTAAACGGACAAATGAACGAATGACGTTTTATAACATCGCGGCGGTGGATTTTGACGCGTTAACGGGAGATACTGGATCGATCACCGGTGTCATCTCATATCAGCACATCGCTAACAAGACAGAGGAGGATGCTGCACAAGAGCCTGACACGGATATAATACTTTTTAATAAACTGGCCCTGGAAGATCGTAAGGGCCATAGGTAAATACGCGGCATACATTAATTTCGATAAAAACTCTATCTTTCTCTAAACTCTAGCTCAGATTTATTCATATGGAGGATTAATTTTCGTATGTCACATTTAATTATTTAAATTATTAATTAAATTAATAAAAATTAATTAAATTATTTACATACTTAAGCCAATTACAGACAACTTATAATTTACATCAGAATTCAGGAAATCTATTTACAATTTGATACACCATGTTTGATACTAGAACAAAGTATAGTATAGTAAAACAAAGACATTATATAAAACAAGAACGAAATTATATAAAATATATATATAATTTCCTCATTTTATGTTAATGTATATTTATTTATTCATTTAACATATTAATATATTTAATTATATTGAATGTATAAAATGTTTTATATGTAAATTTAATTGTTAAATATATATGTTCAATATATTTATTTATGCATACACATATACAATATAAAATATATAAAATATAAAAATATAAATATAAATACATAAGTATGTCAAAATATACGGCATATGAAATAAATAACTAGAAATTGTATACTGAAATCTGATGCGAATTATAGATCGTCCAAAGCGAGCCTTTATGCAGCAAACTGATAAGATAAACTGTACATGCAATAATGCTAACTAGATTTGTCTTTTTATTGACCAGGTGGGAATATTGCGGAATAAACACCATACTCAATTCGAACGAGATGCATGTAGAATTGAAAAATGAACGCTGCACGGCGTAAAATATACCTCCGCCACGACAGTTTTATATTTAAAATAAAAATAGTCTGCAGCTGTAAAAGTGGCCACTTTCAAAGAAATTCCAAGTTTTCATTTGTTTTACACCTCTCCCTCGTACGGATTAACCGTACTTAACCTACTTTCCGCGGCTTACTTGCCGCAAACATATCCGGAGCTGGATGTCGAATCACGGTTTCACACCGTTCGCGTGATTAATTAAGCCGCGGGCAGAATTAATAAGCGACCAATTAAAGCGACATGCAGATGCGACAAATAATTTTACTCACCGAGCTGCCGCTGCCGATGCCATCAATGCCGTCGTCTTTTCGCCGCCGTGTCGTCGTCCTGGACAGTCGCTCGCGGCCAAACTCTCGTCGATTGGAAAAACACGATCCATTATCGCGATCGACAGTCACCCGGCGCATTACACGGCACTCCCGATACTTGCAGCACGCGCGATCTGCCTTGAGCAAGTAAATAACGCGAAAAAATATGACGATCGTTCGTCAATTGTACACACGATGCCGGAGCAGCCGGAGCCGGAGTAGCCGGATATGCACCATGCATGCACTGACCGGTGAGAAATTCGAAGTACGCGCGGACAACTTCACGTCGATGCGCGATCGCCTGGAATCACGCGAAAGAAATAAATCGCCCGGTCGACGAAGTGCCATCAGAGTTCGCAGTTGTGCAGATGAAATCTCACGATTTAAAATACTAATCGGAACAAAAATGTTAAACGTAAGCCGACGAGACGAGAAGAATAATAATAAAAATTTTATTCGCCGCGGTAACCAATTACCGACCTCACGGCAAGATGATTATAATTCGGATCGTCGCTCACAGATGGCACTGGCATCATTTTCTCGCAAATATAAGTTCGACTCGCGTCGAGTGCCTTCGGGAAGGTGCGGGAAAGGTGCGTGCTCTAACCTCAAAATAGCGGCGGCAGTAAACAATATAAATAGACGCTACTCGCGGGATGAATAAAGATGGTCAAGCGTAACCGGAGAAGCGGACGCGTGTTCGGCGTGTTGCAGTAGCGTGAGTCCCAAGGTGTGTCCCACGAGAGAGAGAGAGAGAGAGAATGAGCCACGTCGTGATCGTGCGGGCCTTCAAGCCGGGCGACGAAACCGGCTGCAAGGAATTGATCAGGGACAGCGTGATGTCCTCCCTGGGTGCCACGTTCTGCGGGATGCTGTTCAAGGAGATAACCTTCCAGCTGATAATCCTGCTGTCCGCTATCATGTTCATCTTTTTCGGGATGCCGCTGACCGTCTGCCTCTCGATCGTGCCCGTGGTCGTGGTGCTCATGTACGCCGGCACGTACGTCAGCTTCGCCACGAAACTGACGGAGATCAACGCGGAGGTGAACAACATTCCGAGGTAAAGTATTCGTGAACGTTTCGATTTATATATAATAAACAGGTGTCGCGATTCGTGACGCGATTCGAAACCTAACCTAACATTTGGCGTTTCAACGTTTTCGCTCGCACAGGCTTTACATGTCGAACGCCTTCTCCTGCTTCTGGGTCGCCGAGGCGTTCGAGCCTCACCTGATGACGCGGCATCCCAAGGAGGTTCGTTACACCATAATGACGGAGGAGCAGTTTCGCCAGGCCAACGTAAGCATTTCCATGCAGGCCAAGAAAATAGTGGGGACTGTCGGTTTGTGCAAGAGTCACAGGTTAGACAGAAGCGCGTGGATAAAGAGGCTGTGCGTGCACGAGCAATACCAGAGGAAGGGCGTAGCCTCGTACCTGCTCAACGTCGCTGTACAATTTGCGATCGACGCCGGGTACAGCTGCGCTAATGTAGTGTCTTCCGAATACACCGAAGGGGGTAGAGAACTGTGCCTTAAGAAGGGATTTGAGCTTAAGCAAATGTACCACAAGTCCATCCTGGGATCGTATATAACGGTACTGATGTACGAATTAACGTACCGGATCAAACCTACGGAGGACGATTACTCGCCTAGGATGGACTTCGAGAAAGAGTTTCTGAGTTACCAATTTTAACGGTATATACTTTTTAAGTAGTATCTTAATTGAGACAAACGAATCTCCTGAAAAAAAGAAACTAATGAGACTGATGAACTGACACCGTGTGTTCACCTCGTTAATCAAAGTGCTCGAACCAAATAGTGATCTAACTGATACGCTTAGTATTGTCCAAATTTTATATTGACTAACAATGATAGAAAGGGTGTTATTTTTTACGAAATGTTTGTTAGGTATTCCAGATATTGTTATACACATTATAGAATTCTATAAGTGACATATAAAACGGATATAATAATGATATAAAGAAATAAAAATATATTTTTCTCATATCTTCTTTTTAGTAGCTTCCCGGTATGTGCGGACCTCTTCACCTTCCCAGTGTTGGTTCTTCACCACCGACAGAAACCTGAAATAAACAATTCCATCCCAGTTTGAAAGAATGAGCTGAAAAAAAGTTGCAATATACGTTGCGTAGAAAAATTTTTAATGAGACTCACTTCTCTTGAATCTCTCGCAACAGTGCCTTCTCTTTCTCCGTAATGCCGTTTCGCGCTACATCCAGATTCATCTGCAACTGCTTCGTGCTTTGTATTCCAACCAAATTTGTGTCCACGTCTGCGCACCGCATGGAATGCCATACCGCCAGTTTGCCGAGTTCCACGTCGCGTTCCTGCGCGTGTATATTTCTTTTTAATAACATTTTTTTCAACGGCAGGCATCACGTGCAGGTAAATACGGATATCTTGACTGTCGAATGTTATGTACATGCAATAGTTGCAACAACAATGCGCCTTTTTTTAATTGACGTCTGTCTAATTGTTAACGAACCTTGCAGTATCGTGCGGCATTCGCGCATTGTTCCTTCGTCTCGTCGGAGGCCGGGTGCCAGCTCGGTGGACCGTTGCTCGTTAGAAGACCCATACTCGGCGCGGCGGCGTTAATTAGACCGATCTTGTGCTCCTGCAAGTTGACATTTATAATATAATTGCCGTCAAACTTGGCGATATGCGGCACGAACGAGAAATTATATAACGCACCTTGAAGAATGGAACGTACTCCAGCAGAGTGTCGTCGATGAGAGTGAGTCTCGTGTAGCTCAACACGCATGCTACATTTATGTTGCTCCTTTCGATGCATTTCTTTAATACGGACACCGGATACGCGGTTAGACCTATGTGCCTGGCCTTGCCCTCGGCCACGTGTCTCGACAGCTCCGGCAAGGTTTGTGTGATTATCACGTCCAACGAGGGCGCAAATTCGATATCGTGAACCTACGTGAAATCTCGAACATTTAATTTTTTCGTCAGATTTCAATTTTGACACTGCAGATGTGAAGTGGCAATATTTTACCTGAATAACATCAACGTAATCCAGTCCCAACAATTCCAAACTCTTCTTAAAGCTCTTTCGAGTTTTCTCGACGGTGAAATCGAACATATTGTCGTAATCTAACTCGTATCTGCCAACTTTCGTCGCGATGTAATAAGCCTGGCGCGGAATCCCCTTTAACGCCTATAATAAACACGCGAGATAAAACATCGATTGCACGGCGTTGGTGTACGAAAAAAAAAAAATTTTTGTAATCTTTTTAATAAATTTTCGCACACCTTGCCGACTATCGTCTCGGATCGGCCTTGGCCATACCACGGTGCCGTATCGATATAATTGACACCCTGTTTTATTGCTTGACGTATAGCTTCGATAGCGTCCACCTCGTTATACGTGCTGCAGCAGCAACGTAATTTATGTAAAAGTTATTAAATCGGTCCGTTAAACGTTTAACACTCACACGAACGGTAAACAATTTTACCCGTAATGACAGCCGAGCGGGCCGCAGCCAAAAGATAATTTGCTTACGAGCATCCCCGTTTTCCCGAGCTCTTTGTATTCCATGGCTTTCACCGCTTCGGGGTCGTGAAAACCCTCGACGTAGGTAGGCGGAAACATATTTCTGAAAATATTACGATGAATAATGTTGTAAAGAAAGATTGAAATTGATATGATTTCTAAGGGTTTCAGCTTTCGATGCTAAAGATATCGAAATTTTTCCCTAAGTCTTTTAAGATTTAAAAGAAGTTCTTTTCAAAAGATGGATATCTGTATACTTTTTCTAGACATTACTTGCGCAAAGTAATCGTGATATATGATATATAAAATATAGACAAAATTGTGAAATAAATATTCAATATTATAGTTTGTAATCATATGATATAAAATAAAATGAAAGTTATGATTGAATAAAATATTTAAAAAAGATGTTATTTTATATGTAAATTCTAACACAGAATATTATATTAATATTTTATTCTATCATTTTTATTTATTATAAGGTCTTGCTAAAAATATCACATGACAGATGTTACATTTATAAAAACGATAGATGCAATCATAACACTTCAGGAGCAATTATTATCTGCCGGTGACAATTTTTTCTATATTTACATATACATTGTCTCTGAAAGGAAAGAGAAATGAAAAATATAAAAATTCCAATACTGGGAAATAATTTATACATTATACATCATAATTATATATCAGTCACATATATTTGCACACACAGACACATATTTTAATTTATCTATTTAAGATAGATCACAAGCGAGTCGCAATGATAAGAGTTACACTATGTTTATTTGATATATTTTCACTATTTTCGAGAATAAGCATTTTCGTACGTGTTTTATTGGTTCGCAGATATCTCACTGATAACGGGATTTTATTGCGATGACCACGTCTCACGACAGCAATGAAACCGGGATTGAGCTGTTATCGCCAAAGTGAACGGATTTTAATCGAGCATTATCGTGTATGCACTTATACGTTATACCGCTCGTTGAACGAAGGCAGTGGAAATGGGAGAGTAAACGTGTACGTGGAATTTATTTATCATTGCTACGACGACTTATATAACAATATATCGCAGCTTTGCGATGTGTTGCCATCTTACAATGTGAAATAGTTCGACAATACGTTGTTATACGATACCAGTCAACGATTAAACGGAAATCTGCCGGAGTTCTGCTTTATCGATGATAAATTTACACAAAAATTTACTCCTCTCTCTCTTTTCCCCTCTATTTTATAAATTAAATTTACATAGAAATTAACTGTCATTAACATGCATATATAAAGTGCTGTTTTTCCTTTAATTAAATCTGCATAGTGTTTCGTTGTGGATCCAAGTCTTATTTCAATAATACTCTTTTGTGTAATAGTGATAATATTTATTATAATAATGATAATACACGATAAACTATAAGACGATCACGTACGATGTGGTAAAATACATATGACGATGAAACATAATTATTACGTTTTAAAATATAAAACATGTTATCGATTAACAACGCTTTAATTGAATAGAAATGCGTTTTGAGAAATTTAATTAGAGAGCGAGAAGTGGCAATTTATATTTCTTTTCATTTTATTTGTCACAATTATTTTTAATTTTGTTTTGAATGAAGCTTTTGTAAACTTTCAGGAAGCTGCGTAAAAAAAATGAGATGCAGATTATTCGCTATATTGAGGGAATTCTATTATTTTTCCCTCGTTGTATTAGTATTCTATGACAGTACAGATTTGTTATTAATTAGTTATTTTAGCATTTTGAGAGCTTCATTTGATCCATTTGATGGATTTATAAACGTTATTCTCTCTATTTTATTATAAGATTCTTTATAGTTAAATTTTGCTTCTTATCCTTTTTTTTTTTACCAATCATCTATCTCGTTGCAAGTGCAGAAAGTACCTCTATGACTTAGATCTCGAGAAACAGAGACCGATAATAGTCTATGATATAATTTCGAATTTCCCCCCCGAATTTCCCTCGCCAACTTCAGGGTTAAAGACTCGAGCGCCCTCGATGGCCTCGATCGTTGCGCCGATCGCTTCACGCTGTCGCGCGCGCTCGTTCGCGTTTGTTTTGCCTTCTTTCGCCTCGTCGTCTCGCGCGTAAGACCCCGTAATTTCGGCGCGCGGCCCATTTTCTGGGTTATATACCGGACATCTTACGGCTCTCTCGTCTCCGCCGAGCGCGATTATGTAATAAATAGGGGGGGGGGAGGGACCCCTGACGCGCGCGATCGGGGCCTTGTGCCCTCGGGCAACCCGGCGGCGGCGGTGGCCAAGGTAGAGGCCACTGGTCAGTGCACTCGTTCCTCTCGCGCATTCAGCATCGCGCGGTCGGCAGTACGTCTCGCGGAAATTCTCCTGCGAGCGAAGGGACCGCGACGCAACCGCGACGCACACCGCCTACGTCTATCCGTAAGTGACATTCCCTTCCCTCTTACCGCGTATGGCCGCGGCTTTATAAATTCGCGGCCGTACGTTCGATGCACGATAACGAAGGTTTCGGACAACGGAAATTCATCACGCGCGGAAAAAAAATATGGAGGACCGTCATGCGTGATGACCCGTTTCTCTTCGCCTAACGGATTAACGGAAAAGAGAGCACGCGGAAAGCCGATGGCAAATTCGGTCGCAGGAGATATTTCTGCGGCATATTAATATGTCAATAAATCGATAAATGTATTAATTTTGTGCGATGTGTATTACGCATGAGGTAACTTTTAATATTGCGACTATTGCGTCTGCGAGAAGGATTTAATTTATTCATTCATATAAATGCTGGAGAATTTGAAATTAAAAAACACTGGACGCCATTGCGGCTAATATACACACGGTGTACTCGCTTCGTGCTGCGCGTTGCGAATATCCAGTCATTCCAAAACGGGGGTTCTTTCCGCGCGCGTCGTCGTGCAGGGACGGTCGCGAGGGGCTTTCCGCGCTTATCTAAAAAGTGCAGGAGCGTTTGGCGAGTCTCCGATAGCCCACCTAATCGCTTCGTCGCCCCGCGAAGGAACAATCTCGGCTGCAACGAAACCGGCGGGGCGCGCGGGGACGATAATTGAGCCGCGTCGTCTCGGGTAAAAAAAAAAGCGGGTCGGGACATTCCAATGTTTCAATTTAAAAAAAAAGAAAAAAAATGAGAGGCGTTGATCTTCGCGACTTCGCTCCTCAAACGCGATAAGATATAAGGCGGCACGAAATCCCAGAAACCTGCTGTGTAACTCGATACGTTTCACCGTGCGGTCGCGGCGCGTTTCGCGGGAAATTCTTGCGTGTTCCCCCCCCCGCGCTTCTTGATCCCGAAAACGTGAAAAGTAATTCGAGAAAAAGTAATCGCGACAATCTAGAGCGCGAGACGTTGGCTATATGAAATTACACGCAAAATCATAGATCCTCACGCCGGTATCGCGCTATCTATCGCGCCACGAAACCGCCGTCCGTTGACGTAGGACGGTATTGACATTTCGGAGATTTAGGACTAAGGGTCTAAGAGGACTTTGCGTTTCATTTGTTCCAATGCCGAGAGGTCGCGTTTCGCCGGACTGAACCGGGACCGAATACGGAATTTCGTTGGCGATTACGTGTCAGCGGCTTTATCCCCTTTAAAACCGCAACGCCGAAAGTCTTTAATTATACCAGTATTGGCGGAAGGAGGTCAAATATCGGTATACAACGTAAAATTTTCATAATACCGACATATAACACGATTTTCCGATTATATGTACCTATAACCTGATATTATACCGATTTTATTATTTTTATGTCATTAACGCGAGCGTCAGTACCGTGAAATAAAAACAAATTTGTGTATATCTCTCTTGATATACAATTCACAAAAGGAATTATGAACAAAGAACAAAGAGAGATAAATTGAAATACGTAATAACACTGTACATATTACAATTAATTATAGATCGAATTCACACACGCCATTTTTTGTAATTTCTTCTACAAAATATACATCGTGAATGCACTGCAATTTCAATTGATTTGATAATATCGATGTTTAGTTAAATATAAAAGTAATAAATCAATATATAGTAACAATAATAACGATATTACCAAAGTAATATCGTTACACATATCTCCCGATATTTACACCGGTTGGTTTTCATTTCAGTTATTATATAAAACGGTCGGCATATAACCGATATTTTTTATACCGTTTCCAACGCGGTGGAAGGCGATCTAATCTCACGAGAACCGTAAATTCGCATTTATCATTCTAATCGTAAATTTGGCTTTAAACATGTGGCATAAATATAAATATCCCTCCTCTTACTTTTACACGTAATTCGAGGAATTCTGACTTTATTGCGATTGAATGTTACAAGGTATTTAAATCGATTAAATTTAATTAAGCTGCCAATGTATTTGAAATTTGGATTGCTTTAACAATAATAACAAAGCAGTTTTCACATGTACGTGTGTACGTGTGCTTGTATATATATGTGTGTGTGTGTGTGTTTATAGCATAGATAAAATAATAATTCTTTTCATCCCCGGAAAGAAAAACCTCCGGTCTGTCATCTCCGAGGACGAAAAGTAAAAGCCAAATTCTCGTGTAATTAATTTATTTACCGAGTACCGAGTGTAGAATATGCCTTTTCGTTCCGTATAATTTGTCCAGACTAATATTAAATTTGCTTTAGGTTTCCACACGTAATTGGCGGATATCATGCCAATGAAGAAAGGCGAGCAGTGGTATGCGGATTGGATCGTTGCGACGGGCGTGTGTACGGATCTACCCGGAAGTCTCCAAAGTAAAGACGAAGTCCTGCTCCGCTTGGACAATTTACTCCGTCAGCAAGGTACGTCGATTTATCTATCGTGTAATCTGCGCTTAACTTCTTTCCGTTCTACATTCGCTTGGAAAATCTGACGTTAAACCTGGGCATCTGGGATTTGTGTGGATTTCTCGTTTACACCGAACGTGCATTCGTTGCCTTAATCACTCGAAAACTTTTATCTTTTAATTTAACATCGCCTGTGTAATTATGACGTTTTATTTTAATACTTCGTTAATATTTTAAATAGAAAGCGTGTACAAATTGCAGCGTATTTTTTTTTCATATTAATAAAAGAAAAGCTTTACAAATTATAAAAAAAATAAATTGAAAATTTTATATTGAACTTTTATGATTCTTTGCATCTTACTTTGAAAATTGTTAGAAATATAATACATACCATATTTTTGACTATGCGACAATTAACTTTTCTTCCACGACATTTAATGGGAATGGGTCTTGCTTATCGAGAACTCCTGTCGCATAAGATAGGATATCATTGCCACTTGATTCAAACACTATCGAAGCAGTACGGGTTTTCTCGCCACCGCGTTTACACCATCATCGTCGAGGCATAAATCATTCGTCGACGATGACGAACGAATCGGTTGTGCAAGCACGCGGGTAAAAAAAAGTTTTTAACATTCTTTCGACACGAGTGGCTCGATGGTGACTCAGCTGATTTCCTTCCGTCAAGCGGGAAAAATAACGCAGCCGATAGTGATGCGTTGAACTTTATGGGCACACGTGGCGGGATTGCTCGATCATGACAGTAAAAAATGTATTATCGATCGAATCTTCAGAGATGTATTGCAAGCAAAAGAGAAAAGGATACAATCGATTATAACGCCACGAACAACATGCATTTATAATTTTACACATTGCGAAGGGTCTGATCAATTAGCACAATTTGAATAAACAATGTACTATTATTTCGAAATATATATATGCAGATAAAATTTAAATTATTATCTTTATAATTGTTCTACATGGAATATGCTGATACGGAGCATATGTAGTACTAGCTTCTCTTGGGATTAATAATCAACTATACAGAGAACATAAATAATTTACCTTTTGGACTTGTATTGTTGGTCATCAACGTTTGACATTCACATGTGTATGTATGCGCGCATGTGAGTGGACTACAGATGTCTGGAGCATGCTCACACATGGTTTCGCTTTAAACCGTATCAAGGTTCTTTCCAAAAGTACTTCGATAAAATCTGCTATCGTATAAGCCAGGGTCGTGCATGATTACAATATTCCGGGCTGTAATAAAAGAAGATGCTATCGACATAGATCGCGCGCGCCGTCTATTTTCGGATTTAACGTTTTTAGCAGAATAGAAGATGACAGAGAGAGAGAGAGAGAGAGAGAGAGAGAGAGAGAGAAGGGAAGT